CATATAACGGAAATAATTTGTCTCATATCGCTCGGCGGATTTATAAAACCTTAAAACATCACGAAGATTTGCCGTTTTATTCCCTGAGTCATTGAAGAAGAGCAGTGAGCTCCATTACCATCTTAGGTTTGTTAAAACCAGCTCTGGTTCTGTTGTCAGAGAAAACCATCCACTGACAGATCTAAACGTCACACATCATATCAGCTTAGCTTTGTTGCTTCAACTGGTCTTCTTTCATGTTTAATCTCTGTCTATCATGGAAAAGGCTGAATTTGGAAACATTAACATTGTTATGATAAAATTGTACATTTTGTAAAACACAGACATTGCTGTTTCCATGATGCTAGTAAAGCTAACTTTGTTAATTAATAACAAAAAATGCCATAGAAATTTAACTAACCAAATTTTCTTCATTTTTGATGTAAATAAAACCCAACTCATTTTATATTATGAAATAGCTTGGCAGGAACAGAGAGAGAGAGAGAGAGAGTAAGACTTTCTGCTGATAACAGGAAGGCTGTACAGGGATGAACTAGGTTGCTCCGATTGATTTTTTTATTTTATTTTTAATCTCTGTCTATCATGGAAAATGCTGAATTTGGAAACATTAACATGGTTATTATAAAATTGTACATTTTTTAGAGCAAAGACATTGCTGTTACCATGACGCTAGTAAAGCTAACTTTGTTAAATAATAACGAAAAATGCCATTGAAATTTAACTAACCAAATTTTCTTCATTTTTGATGTAAAAAAAAATCCAACTTGTTTTATATTAAGAAAGGCAATATCATTAGCTTGGCAGCAACAGAGAGAGAGAGAGAGTAAGACTTTCTGCTGATAACAGGCAGGCTGTACAGGACAAAGCTAGGTTGCTCCGATTGATTTTTTTTAATTTTTAATCTCTGTCTATCATGGAAAATGTTGATTTTGGAAACATCAACATGGTATGAAAAAATTGTAAATTTTTTAGAACACAGACATTGCTGTTTCCAGGACGCTAGTAACGCAAACTTTGTTAATTAATAACGAAAAATGTCATTGAAATTTAACTAACTAAAAAAAAAAAAAAACTCTTTTTATATTATGAAAGAGGCAATAACATTAGCTTGACAGCAACAGAGAGAGAGAGTAAGACTTTCCGCTGATAACAGGAAGGCTGTACAGGGCAAAGCTAGGTTACTCCGATTTATTTATTTTTTTTTTAACCTCTGTCTATTATGGAACAAGCTGGATTTAGAAATATTGGCACGGTTTTGGTATAGATTTCTATTCTGGAGAATGCACATTCACTGCTGTTTCTGTAATGGTTTAGGGTTAGCAAAAAAATGCTAAATGCAATTTAATTGTTAATTATTTTTAAACAGGTGGTAAAAGAGAAAAAAACAGCTAATTAGAATAATAAAGCATCTTTTGTGGCAAAAAAGGGGAGGAAAAATTACTGCAAAAGCTGCTCTTATAGCATCTACTAATATAGAATATAAAGAAAAGTCGTTAAAAATCAGGATGGGTGGGTGAGAGCGTGAGGACGCATGGAGAAGAGAAAGAGGTGTCATCTAGAAGAAATAATAAAAAAAGGGGAATAGAAGTTGGAAGAATTTCACAGAGGGAATGCCGGAGGTGGCTCAGAGTGCGTGATCAGACCCAGCCAGCGGCGGTGATGTTCAGCACGCTGCGGACACAACACACCCACCTGCTTCTGATAGAGACACAGCGGCCTCAGCTTCATAATTATACATATAGCCCGCCCACACAGATAGTGGTTACCTGGTGAGGAGAGAGAGAGAGAGTGTTGGTCTGGGAGCGTCAGGTCTCTACTGGTGTGTGTTTGTGTCTTCTGTTCTCCCACGGCTCTATGTGCTAAAAAGCATTGTATTAATAAAACCTGGCTTCTGGCGTTTGAACAATTTATCTTTTTTCTTGTAGCTAAGTCATTCGCCACGAGGAGTAAGAAGAGTACAAACAATCATCTCAAGAAAAAAACGGATCTAAAATCTGCTCTTTGTGTGTTCGGCCCTAAAAATCTGGAAAAACGACTTGATTTCCTTTTGTGTGTGTTTCTAACGTACAATCAGCTGCTTTTAAGTGGCCAGACCTGAGGAATAAATGATGAGCAGAAACAGAGGAAGCCTCTCTGCAGAGAGGAGCATAGCCATCACACCTGTGTCACATAAAAGAGTGTTTCTTTCAGCAGGCAGAATGTGGGGCCTACTTAGTGAGGTAACAGTAGTTGCTGCTTAACATTGTTCTTTTCTTCGTGCTTTGACAGTATTTCAGGAAAAAAAAACTGATCATTATAGCTAAAGATACAACAAAACAAATCATAAATACAGACTTAATCTGAAGAACATTAAATCCATCATATTGAGGTTTTGTGGAATGCTCAAAAAAGGTTTGGACAGCTTGTTTTTCTTTAAAAAGAAATACAATAATAAGGAAGATTAACGTGTCCACCTGTCCCCCAATACCCCCTCTGGGTCTCTTTTGGTGTGAGACAATAAAAAGTGCAAAAATATGTCCTGTCAGGTTTCAACCTGGACTTATGTTACATTTAACGACTAATAAAACCCCTCAGAGGACGCGGGTCTTTATTCTCTCTCAGAGCAGGGTGGTTCCAAACCGACTCACTGCCTCCAGTCAAACCAAATTGTTCACTCTTTGCTTTTTCACTCTAGCTAACAACATAAGCACATCATTGAAATATTCACAAACAAAACAAAAAAGTGTTGTGTTCCCTGTTTTTCTGTTGTCTGTGGTGTTTGGCGAGTGGGAGGGGGGGGGCATTTATTGGTCAGTCAGATATTTTAAGAATCTCCCTCCTCCCTTCATGAGAGGAGGGCAAAAAAAAGAAAGAAAAGAAGCATATTTTCCCAGAGTATCAGTTAACGCCTTGCTAAGCACCCAGGTAAACGATTCAGAGGCACAGAAAGGAGTAGGAGTTCAGTGAATGAGGTATAGCTCTCGGCTCTGCTTCCCAAGTTCACAGACGGGTGACGAATTAAGCTGGAGACGTTTTTTTCCTCAAGGTGGGGGTCTGGACCAGATATACAGACCGTGTTCTGTGGGGTTAAGATGGCAGGCGGCTGGAGACGGGCAGCAGCCCCCACACGACCCGCAACCAGGAGGAAAAAATAGATCGATGGAAGTTCTTCTGATCCCTCGCTCTGCTCGGTCGCTTATTTGAGGAGGTCAGAGATATTGTGGGATGTACGACTGCCTGTGGAACACCAGTTTCAACAGAACTCCATTTGACAAATTTCTGATTATCCATTTTACATCAGGGACAGACCTGCCATCATCGGTTTTAATCAACTTTGACTTATTTATTATTGATTAAAACCAGCGCGTTTGTGTATTGGTTTAGAAAATTACATTTTCAACCAAAAATATGTTAAATGGGGAAATAATGTCCCCTAAAAAGCAGTTGCGCCTCAGGACTTCCCCACCGGTTCTATCATTCTTTTACGTTACAGATCTGTTTTAATATATATGACTGAAAATCTATACATATGGCTAAAAACGGACGAAGGGAGAACCTGAAGCGGCGGAGAGAGAATGTGCTTTTCTTTGTGCTTCCCCAGAGTTTAATTAAAAACGCCCCAGTGGCGCTGAAAATGGCTAACTTTGAGTCTCTTTCCGCGCTAACAGCATCCACACCAAAGGGTGTTATTTGGAGTGCCACCTTTTCACACATGGGGTGCGTTTCCTGGGTAAACAAAGACACCAGCCAATCAACTGTCAGGGCTGATTTCTCTCTGCAGCTCAGGTCATAACTATTCAAGCAGCAGATCAAAGATGGTTTTGGCACTCAGAAATAAACGGAGCGGCAGAGACCTGGAAGATGACAGGTTAATCTATTGCATACAGAAACAGGTGAATTGGGGAATCCAGCAAGTTAAGGCCCCGTCCACACGAAGTCAAAACGAACACGAAACGCAAATATTTTCCAGAACGTTTGTCGTAAAGACGGAGACGTAAAATAAATGTGATCGTCCACACGAATGCATGAAAACGCTGCAAAATGTATGCCAGGCCTGTAAGTGGCGCTGTGGTGCCAAAGCAAAAATAGGCGACGAAATGTTGGGCATGCGCACTAATATTTATACATGGTTGCCCTGCGGGTCCATTTTCGTGGTTCAGCCAAATTCAGGTGCTGAACTATGTCGTCTATATTGCTCTGTTCTTCCTGGAGATATTCCAGAAGAAGAAGATTCTGTTGTAAGCTCGACAGCAGGGTGAGTAGCATGAGTAGCAACCATTCAACACAGTACGGCGCCATTGTTGTTGTGATACTGTGTCGCGCATGCGTGTTTAGAGGCGACGCTATGACGCATGAGTGTAAAAAAAAAAATGCGGTTAGAGCTTAAAGATGGAAACGCGAAAACGGCGTTTCAAAATCTTCCCACTCTGAAGGCTGAATAAAAAAAAGATCGTTTACAGACCCCCGAAACGCCGGCTTCGTGTGGATGAGAGGCTGGTTTGGTGAAAAATTTGTGCGTTTAGGTCAGGGTTCGGCTTCGTGTGGACGGGGCCTTAACCTCCTTTAAAACACTTTGTTTCACTAACTAAAAGCTAATGGGTTTACATACTGTGGGTTCCTGCTTTAGACTTGATTTACTCCACAAGCGATGGAAGCAGAATTTAAAATCCTCGTTTGTACTTATAAATTCGACCAATAATCCCTGCCCTGACAGTATACCAGTAATTGGCGTCAAGATAAGAATATTTAACAAAATGGAGTCATTTGAAACCTCTTGGACATTTGATGTCGGTTCTTCGATGAGGATGGCTCTAAGCCCGCCCATTTTTAAATGAATGTTAGGTTTATTCAATGATGATTAATAAAGTAATGTGTGTTCATGAGACAATGTAGAAATGAGATGCTCCACTCCTGTCTCATGATTCAGTCAGGAGACCATCCTGCCTTGTCATTCTAGTGGAGCGTCAATTGCCTCATCAATTGTTCTGTCAGAACAACACTCTGTTTGTAACCATGTGTCATGTTGTGTTAATAAAACGCTCTGCGGAGGAGGTCCAGGGGGAGACAGTGTGTTTGAGTCTGGGGTTCAACTGTCTCTCCTTCTGCAGAAGCCGTATGAAAATGCATTACTGTGTATTTCAGTTCTTCCTTTTACAAACCCAACAATGAAGACGAGATCCAAGCCAAGTTACGATTTGGAGGTGTACGGCTGCGTCACTTTTACCGTTGGCTGTTCAACGCGGCTGGTATAAACCTAGCATAAGACCAGGAAATGACGACTTCTTCCAAAGCTTTTTGGTGTCTTTGCATGCTCTGTCTTTCTAAATGTTTCTTGAAGAGAGATTGTGAAACTCGCTCATTCCTGCAAATCTCACACGAGTGAAACCAGTTAAGAAGGCGTGGTTTCCTCCAAAATGTTAATCCGTCATCCGTCTGTAGTACATGTCCATAAACAAAGTGTAGGTAGTTAAGGTTGTGCCTTTTTCTGACTGACAAATATCGCCACCCAACTTATTGGCTGAATCCTGAGACATTAACAGTACCAAGGCTACTGTTGGAGTGTTTCCAATATACAGATGAAAGCAGCGTAAAGAACCGATATTAGCAGAAGAATAAAAAGACAACAGTCTGTTAGAAAACGAGGTGAATCTGAGAGGTTCCTTTCACTACATTCTTGGTATATGTGCATAACAGACATGCGAGGTGTCGTTTTGAAATATGTGCTGAGACTTACTTTAAAGAGGGGTGTTTTTTTTTGGACAGGTGGATCTGTTAACCGTTTACACTTAAAGAAAAAGAACAAAATATGGAAATAAGTGTAAAACTGAAATGGCATGCACCTTGGTAGGTATGATCCGGCTGAACAGACCAAAAAAGAAAAGACTTTGTACAAAACAATGACAATAAGGAGGAAAAGGTAAGTGCTCTAACGACCAGTAAGGGTCGAGGAGCATTTGATAGATTTCGTTTGGCTTTTGGAGGACTTTGCCCCTCTTAGGGGAATTCACTCTAAGTGCTGGTTGAATTTGTCCATGCAAATCAGTGCATTTCATGTCAATTTAGCTGATTCTTCACATTTGTTTTTATGTTTTATATGCATTACATTAAAAGTGGCTAAAAAGAAGATTTTTTTTACCTTTGTTTTTATTCTCTTTAACAAAGGAATAAGCCCAAACATTAATTTAGTTTTCTAAAACTAACCCTCACGGCTGGTTTGGGTGGGCTGCATGTTTCCCCTCAGATCAGTGCATTGTCCTACGCCGGCTCTGACTGGATATACGCAGCGGCCTTTTAGACACTTTCAACGCTTTGCGTTGTTAAGTGTTGGATGCATTTCATGCAGGATCGTCTGAAGCCCGATGTGGGGAACCAATAACCACAAGGGGAGGGGACGCGATTGTAGATCAGTTCAATTCCAATTAGATTGTAACTCGTTTACAGTTCACACATATCATGGTAATGATTAATTATTCGATGCTCTAACAATAACACTTAACGCAAAACTCAGCCAAAATAAAAGCAGTGCATGCCATTTAGAGAGAAAATAAACAAATAAATAACAAAATACATTTGCAAAGTAGTGAATCATCAATCATCAGACTGGGAGGGGGGCGGCAGGCAGCGTCCAAAGCAAAGAGCGACATTTCAATGAGAGGAGGGGGAACAATGAGACGCTACACTAAAACAAACTTGTTCCAGCTCTCCAACTTCAGCACGGAGGTTTGGGTTCGGGCTGCAACTTTTGGAAAGTCGTCACACACTAAAGCTTTATCCAGCCCCGCTCATCGCTCTCTGCTCCGTCGGCTTTAAAGAAGAGCTACACTACATGCATAACCTCAAACTTGTTTTACTCTTGGAGAAAGTGCTATTTTAGTTCAGCTCAACAAGTTCGATTCACAAAGCCGGCGTTCAGCGTATTTTTCCTGTTCTTTCCTGTCTCGGTAGCAGGTCTACTCTGCGATGGCACCGCCACAGTAATTGAAAAGAAAGAACTTTGTGAGAGGCCCGTCCTGTCCTCCTCTCGGTCTACTATAGGTCCAACGAGAAATCACCGTGTTAGCAACCCACGTCTTCTGTCTCAGTTACCCTGAGTTAAAAATGAGAAGAGAAAAAAAAACAAAAAACAAAAACACCCCTAAAACACCCAGAATCATGGATTGGCTTTTACATAATCAGTCACAATAACTTAAAATATATTAAAATCTGCCTCTCCCCCACCTAACAACTAACCCCTCCCGCTGCATATTACCCACCCGCCCTCCCCACCATAAATGCACATTGTTTCATACATAACTGCTTTTAAACTGTCTTTGAGGTTTGAGGGGGTGCGGGGGGGATTTTTTTTTGTTTAAAACTTCTAAACCAAGCTGCTTCTGCTTAGTCTGCTAAAAAAAAAAAAAAACCCAAACAAGACGACAAAGAAAAAAAACAAACATCAGCAATATGTTATTAACTAAGACAAGTTCAAATAGTTCAGCCTGGGCCAGCTGAAGCCTTTGCAGGAGTCAAGACCATGAACTGGATAGCAGCACAGTTTCATATTCTGATCCAAAAAAAGGCCGTCGTCCAGTTAGAGGTCCGTGAGGGAGTGGAGCTCACTTCGGAGTTGACGCCCGAAGGCGGCTCCGCCTTTTTCCAGGATCAGCAGTGTCAGACTGAAGGAGGTCCATGAGGTAGCATCCCGCCCTAAAAACAGCTGATCCATAATCAGAGTACCCTTCAAGTTATCCCTTGGCGAGAAAACGAAAACAAACAGAAAGGAGGGGGGTGGATTCGGCGCGTCCCGCGTCAGAAAATGAATCAGCATCCGAAAGGCGATGTGCACCTCTGACCCGTTGCAAGGTTGCGACTGGGCTTCAGAGACAGACCATAATAAGTGCATGATGCATGGGCAACAATGCCGAGGTAACGTGGTCTGTAAGCGCCAGACCCAAAGTGTAGTGCAAAAGAAAGCAAACCAAATGAAAAAGAAAAGAGAGAAGAAAAAGGAGTTGATTACAGAAGTCAGTAGTGTCCACGAAACTCACAAACATGCATCCCTGAATGACTTTTGTGTCTCCTCTTGCTCACAAGAGGACGGGTTAATGTTGCTTTCGTCTGCACAGAGATTATATTTCTAAGGAGGAAAGAAAAAGTTTGCAGTTAAAGCATCATGGCTACCTGGCAAGAGGAGAACGGGTTTGATTCCCAACCTTTGTGAGGAAACGATGGGATGATTCAATCCTACAGTTGGCTTTTCAAATGTAAGAAACAGTTCACTGACCAATTTCAGCAAATTCTATAGAAAAGGGGTGGGGGGGGTCCAAATTTCCAAATTTTCTTTTTGAATTTAAACATTCTTATGTTTTCCTCAGCAGTAGAATTCATCCAGAGCCCAAACTCCACTTATAAGCAGCAGCAGAGCCGTGTGTAAAGTTCAGAAAAAAGGAGAGGTGGGGTGTTTTTTTTTATGGGGGGGAGGGGGGGATTATCAGCATGCTTAAGGAATTTCCATAAATTGTCATTGAACTAATGTCCTTAGTGGCATTTGTTAAGCTTTGGATATAAAAGCTAAACAAATGCTTGTTCAGCACCTGGCGGGCGCTGCGGATCACAAGGTGTCTGATTAGATGTTTCTCTGCAGTTTGTTGTTTTTTTTACTTAGGAGACCTCCTCATACCATCCCTCCGTTTGTGCTCACCCAGATACTGCAAAGTAAATTGGCACAAAAGAAAGCCCCGTCCGTGTTTAAATTGACATAAGCCGCGTGACTGAGGTTTTACATGTGTGGGTTGTTTAGTCCATTGGTTTGGATTCGTCATCAGTTTTCTCCTTTGTGTTTTCCTTGAGTTCGGAGGCAGCTAGCGCCAGGCTGTCGTCTCGCGGGGTCGTCGTTGACGCGTTATCCGGCTCCCCCGCGAATTCCTGGCCTCCTGCTTCCATCTTCATCATCAGCTTGAGCTTCTTCTTTGGGGGGTTCTTCAGGGTTCCCATGCGCTCCTTTACCTTGTACTCAAGGGTACTGTGAGGGATGCCGTACATGTTCTGTGCCTTAGACACGCTCATCTTCCCGCTCATCACTACTGCTATGGCTTCCTCCAGAATCTCACTGTTGTACTGCCGATAACGGCCCCTCTTCTTCCTTGGCTGCTTTGAGCTTGGGTCCACTTCCACGTCAGAGATAGAGTACGCCGGCCCCGAGGTGGAACTGTCCAGGTCAGAGTTCCAGTACTCGGCGGCTCCGTCAAGCAGGCTTCCCAGACTTCCACCCCGACGGTTCTGCTTGGGTAGGATGGCTCTCAGCTTTCGACTCAGACTGTTGTCACCATGGCCGCCTGCCCCGACCCCCATGGCTCCATAACCGTACAGCTCAGAGGCATGGGAGTCCCAGGAAAGATCCATTCCCCGTACTTGTGGGATCTTTAGGTCGACGGGCGGCGAATGGCCTTGCTCTCTCTTGCCTTCGTTGAGGTGATGCTGAGCCTTAGACACCTGATTGTGGCTGTGTTGGTGCAGGGAACTCTTATATGAGAAGGCTCCATGGTGGTTGTGGTGGTGATTTTCCAGGAATGTAGGCAGGTCTTTGAGGTCGTTTAGAGCTCCACCAGCCTGCTTCAGCTTCATCAGGCTTTCGAGGTGAGCCTTGCTTTCCCAGAGAGAAGCGGAGCCCTTTTGACTAAGTAAGGAGTGGGATTGGCCATGATTAAGCAAACCAGCCGACTCTAGGTTGGCCAAAGAAAGAGCTGCTGGCTGGCTTAACAGGCGGTGCTTCTGGCTAAGTAGCTCCTCCTTGATGCGCAGCGAGCGGGCCAGCGGCGGCTTGAAGGAGTTGGAGATGACGTAGCTCTCCCTCAGTCCATCCTGCAAACTTTTCTGCAGTAGGCCATCCTCTTCTTCTACTTCTGACAGGGTGCGTTCTGCCTTCAGCAAATGTCTGGATGGAATAGAAGAACAAAAACATTTCAGAACATGAAAAACCTAGACTTAAAGGTTTGGTCTGATTTATGTTTATAGACTTGCTTTGTTTTTGTTTTTTTTACAGAATTACAACAGCAACTATTTAGGGGGGTTTATAGAAACTTATTTTCACTCAGACAAAATGGAGGGCATCTGATTCTTCCTTAGGTTGAAGTCCAGGTTTGACTGGGTCATCCTAACACATGAGATGTTTTGTGACGGGCAGAACTCCATTGCAGCTCCGACTATATGCTGATGATGTTCTGCTTGATAGGAAACCTTTCTTATATCCTTTGCTGCCCTTGCACGACTGCCATTGATTTGGCCCTTTGACCTCTCAGAGGGACCCGCTGCTCGATGATGTCATTTCAACATATATAGATTTAGATGGGGCTAGCTTTGGTCTCATATATAGAAAAATAGCTACTGCAGGCTTTCTTTTAGCAATGACATTCTCCTCATCACTCTTTAATTTAGACCAGGTTTTTAGCAGGTAGGGCAAGCGATAAAGACTTGAACTTTACCTAAAGTCAGACTTGAGTCACAGATTTGATTACATGATACTTCACTTAGTTGTATTAGTAAAGACCTGTGTCATGACTTGGGGTCCATCCAAATTTGGCAAATTTGCCTGATTTGGAATCAGCCTCTGAATTGTGCAACGAGGACTTGTGACTTTGCTTTGAGTTGAGCATGGGTACTTATAAAAACTTTATTAAGTCAAATATTTACCAAAAATAGTCAAATATTCAGTATAAAGTCGAATCTCTATCTGCATTGTTTCCTAATATTGTTTAATTTTCATTGAGACTGAGGTTCAATAGTAACTAGTTACGTTTACTTGGGAAACTTTCGTAAAAATGTACTTTTAGGAGTAGATGTACTTTATTGAACTTTTACTTAAATTGTTGTTTGAGTATTGCTACACTCACTTGAGTAAATCTTCTGGTTACTCCACCCACCGTGAGTAACAGAGTTCAGGTAAAATTCACTTAACATTTGATAAGTGGTTCATAATTTCCTAACATATACATCACCTAATCTAAAGATTGGGTGAACAACTTTATGTGAAAAAAATGATGGCAAGATGTTTTTTCTCTGTATAAATCTGTCATTTTTCAATCAGGTCACTCTTTTTGTGTTTTTTTTTCATTTTATACTTTGAAATATAATAATTCTTTTTGTCTGATGACATCATTTTAAACATTAAAATAATTAGCTATCAGCTGCAACTGCTATTCAACAATTGAGTCGCAGTTTTACAAAGTACTTTCTTTTACTCTTTAAAAAGTAAAACTTTGCTTGAGGAAAATGTTGAGGTACTTAATCAACCTCTGCCCCACTTATTTGTAGGACCAATACTTATTTGGGTGCTTTTAAATCTGTTCTAACTGGCCTGTCCTTTCCATTGCATGGCCATGTATTTGAAGGCTAAATGTTTAAACAGGGTTTATGTAGGATGAGAATGAGTAACTCTAATTTAATGCTTTTTAATGTTCTTTTAAAGGTGAACACCGTTTTTTTTACATTGGCCCCTTGATTTTATGTTATTACATCATGTTCTACTCACCCATATGATTTTTGTGTCATTTGGAGCTGTTCTGAAGATATTCGGTTAGGTTACATCCAAGTAACGTCTTCCCATCGGCAATGACTTAAAGGCACAAACTAAACTGTTCATAATTTATCATTTATGGTACGCCAGCATTCATAACATGTAGGCGAATCACTGTCTCCCAGACATTCGCGGTTATATTTTTTATATGTATATTTTTTTAAAACAAATTGGCGCGTGTATGACGATAACTTATCCGACTCGCGGGCATCCGTGAACAACTATCGGTACCGGGGAGACTCCTGGAACTTCCTGGAGACTTGGAATGTCTACCATACTCTGGCTTTTTCTCTGCAAAAAGCTTGTTTTCACAACATACGGCTTTACGATCAAATGCAGTTCCGCGCAAACCAGTTATTTCTGAAATAATATATCTGACGAAATTGTTTTTCTCCTCAAATTTCGAACGTCTCTGTTCTTTCGTTCTCCTGATGCCTGATGTTCTCCAAAGTTTTCTAACAAACCTCTGAGGTCAGAAACAGTAGAGCTGCATTTATACTAACATGAAATGACACACAAATGTATTTACGAGAGAAGTATGCTACTGAAGATTCTCAGTCATCCAGGTCTTAGTCATTCCAAAGAAGTTAAAAAAGTTAAAAAAACAAACCACTGTACGTTTCAAATTTGGAAAACAAAGTCGAGAGTTTTTCAAATTTTTTTTTTTTTACTTTTTTGGATTTCTAGGGAAGTATGATATAACGGCTTTAAATTTGGTTTTAGCCAATTATTTCTAAGAATATCTGTCCATTAAGGAAACCTGGGATGACATTAAAGAGTGATATTTATTTCCATGCAGTTGCTGTTTTTGTTTCAGAAATTGTATTTTTTTGGTCATATGCCAGTGATTGAGGTTCAGCAAAGGATTGTGGGTGTTTTAACATAGCAGAGAAACAAAGTCAGCACTGTAGTCAGCCTTCCATTGTCTCTAAATGGCATAGAGATTAATATCTGTAAATATAGGTTATCAGATATGAACGTAATTTTGATATTGGCCGAGATTTTCATATCGGTGCATTCCAGAGAAGGGGACTCGAGTTTGTGACTTGTACTCGAGTCGCACTTAAGTCGCATATTTAATGACTTTAGACTCTACTTAGACTTGCATTTGAAGGACTTCAGACTCGACTGAGACTCGTGATTTCTGACTTGTGAACAATATTTTATTTTTAAGTGTTTTTTGTTTTACTAACTTGACTGATCGCTGCTCGCCTTACCCGCACACAGCAGAGGTAAAAAAAACGGCTGTCAAACTGTCACGTAGCACTGACGTCACTGACGCAACGTTACGTGACATATATGCCCGCGCGCCCGTGCGCATGCATGCACGATCGACAAGCCAAGCTTTAAAAACTTCATGGCAGTCGTAGAGGAGAAATATGTTGTGAATAATGTTGTGAATTGGCACTAAATAAATAAACTGAATTGAATTTAAAATACTGTCCGCCAAGTCAGTTCTGTCTGGTCCAGGGCATTAAGTTACCAAAAGTTATTGCCACAATGTTTCTTTTATGAAAGAATTGCTATTGTCCTGGTATTTATTTAGGGTTTTTCTTTATCTGTTGTAGTTGCTAACTTCATATGTATTAATAAAAAGCAGGATTGTGATTGTTTTTTTTCCCCACAGTCCTCATTTTCACTTAAAAATAAAAGAGCAGACATTTACTCCTAAAACTAGAAAAAGTTGTAACCACAAATGTCAGGTAGATACTGTAAGAAAATAGTTGTTTTTGAAAGAAAAAAATAAAGATGCAAAATTTAACTGGGAAAAAAATGTGTGTGTGCTTTTTTAAATTGTATTTTTCATTTACCAGTTCAAGATAATGATCATTCCATAGATATAATAGTGACCTTTAAGCTATACCGTCTCAGTGACGGAGATGAAAACAAGGAGAAACAAGCAAGCACAAAAATTATTGCACTTATTTTAATTAATTGAGTGATTAAAATTTATTGTGCGATTAATTGATAATTGACTTGAGACTTGACTTGGACTTGCAAAAAATGACTTGTGAACATGTCTGGTGCATTCCTATTGTTTACTATTTATTTGACCGTTTAGTGTAGCTGTTTATGTTGGATTTAAATTACGGGCACTAAAACAAAGAGTGTATAATAGAAATGTATGCTACATGTGTAGGACCGTTATCTGTTAAAGGTTTGTTTTGTTTTTCAAATTTATAGCTAAATGCAACTATATGTGAATCCGTAACATAGAATCCAATAAAATACATCAATGTTTGTAGCTGTAACATGTCTAAATATTTTGCAAGGTATGGTTTACTTTATATCTATTCGAATTATTCAAATCCCTCAATGATTGATAAAACAAAATGCAGGCCTGGATGCGAAATTCTTGTGGCATCTTGCATTTCTAATTTGCATATATGTCTGAAAGACGTTCATATGTCAAGTGCCTTTACTGGACCTATAGCAGCCGATGCGCCTCCTGCTAAGTAACTATAGCAACAGCTGAAAAGCTCTTTAAAGGTACTCCCATAGGTTCATAATCACAGGAAAGAGCATGGACGGCATATGAGGGATGGAACTTCAGGGACCTCTCTCCTGGAGACGTATTATTCAAAAACACAATGTCACTGCCTGCTGTGTGGGGAGTCCACAGCAGGAGATTTAACTCAGCTTATCACTGTGGGCCATCTTAAGTCTGTTGAAAACAATACAGGGCTAATATGGGCCATCGAAGCCTGTTTCAGTCAGCATGCAGACATCTGGGTGATGCTTCAGACAGTAATGGTGGATATGTGGTTTTTATTCCAAAGGGACAGTTCAGAATTTTTTATTTTTTTTTTTAGAAGAGTGTAAAATCTGTGAGCAAACCTCTCTAGAGTCTTCCTTTAAAATAATGCACATTAGTTCTTGAAAGATAAAACTAATCAGAAAATGGACCAAACCCAAAGCAGCTTTCTACCACCTTAAAGGACCCATATTATGTCAAATTAATGGTCTTGTCTAACCTGCAAAAATTTGTTGTTTTTTTTTGGTACAAAATGTATGGAGTTCATTTTTGTTCATTATTGTTGCATGCAATGATACGGAAGAGGATTAGGGCCATTGAAAAAAAAAAAAAGTTAACTGATTTTTAAATTTTATTTCAGTTTAACATGGGGAAAAAAGTCAGAATTCTGAGATTAAAGTCAGAATTCTGACTTTTTTCTCAGAATTCTGACTTTAATCTCAGAATTCTGACTGAATTCTGACAGTAAAAAAAGTCAGAATTCTGAGAAAAAAAGTCAGAATTCTGAGAAAAAAGTCAGAATTCTTTTTTCCCATACTATACTGAAATAAAATTAAAAAAATCAGTTACCTTTTTTTTTTTTCCAGTGGCCCTAATCCTCTTCCGT